TACAACACATGGTATAGCGATACAACACATGGTATAGCGATACAACTCATGGAATAGTGATACAACACATGGTATAGCGATACAACTAATGGAATAGTGATACAACACATGGTATAGCGATACAACACATGAAATAGTGATACAACACATGGAATAGTGATCGACACATGGTATAGCGATACAACACATGAAATAGTGATACAACACATGGTATAGCGATACAACACATGGTATAGCGATACAACACATGGAATAGCGATACAACACATGGTATAGCGATACAACACATGGTATAGCGATACAACACATGGTATAGCGATACAACACATGGAATAGCGATGCAACACATGGTATAGCGATACAACACATGAAATAGTGATACAACACATGAAATAGTGATACAACACATGGTATAGCGATACAACACATGGTATAGCGATACAATACATGGAATAGCGATACAACACATGGTATAGCGATACAACACATGAAATAGTGATACAACACATGAAATAGTGATACAACACATGGTATAGCGATACAACACATGGTATAGCGATACAACACATGAAATAATGATCTCTTATATGACAATTTCCGCTCTAAACGAAACTGAAAATTCGTTATAGTTTTTTTTGTCTGTATTATCTCAAACTGAAACTGATATTTGCAGTTATTTATCTATGAATGTAACTGCTTTTAAAATACTTCCATATGTTTAACTGAAAATAAAACGACAGTCCAGCACATCCTTGTCTTGTTCGCGATCTAATATGTGCCTCATTCTGACTCGTGTGTCCAACTGGATGTTGTAAAAGATTATCGATGCGTTCGATGCACCGCACATCAGCTAAAAAATGTAACGACCAACAGAAACCATGTAAAAATCAATCAGAGTATTCCAACATAAGACGAAGTGCGTTCACGTGACTTAGAGATCGATAGTGCCAGCATCAGTATTCGATAGTGCTGCTGGAGCTATCAGCATCCGCCGCTTGTTCCGACGCGTGTAAGGAGTACGGGGTTAGCACAAGTACGGAAATATTATCGATCTAACTCAGTAGTGCACGTGTTTTCCTTGCATATTACCACTCAGTGTTAATCAGGTGTATATCACATATACCAAAAAAGTCAGTGCACGTGTATGGAAAAAATAAATACGCATTATAATACATCATATACTGCACACGCCAGTGTACATATAGCCTACACGTCAGTGCACGTGTGTATCTTTTACTGACGTGTATGATATATTACGATAAACACATTTATTTACGTGTATGGTAACTATGTTATACTCATTTACTGACGTGTGACGTGTAGCCCTGGTGTCGTACAGACAGGTATTGATGTTTCTCCAGCTCTGGTGTCGTATAGACAGTATTGATGTTTTCCTAGCCCTGGTGTCGTAAAGACAGGTTTTGCTGTTTCTCCAGACCTGGTGTCGTATAGACAGGTATTGATGTTTCTCCAGTCCTGGTGTCGTATAGACAGTATTGATGTTTTCCTAGCCCTGGTGTCGTAAAGACAGGTTTTGCTGTTTCTCCAGACCTGGTGTCGTATAGACAGGTATTGATGTTTCTCCAGTCCTGGTGTCGTATAGACAGTATTGATGTTTTCCTAGCCCTGGTGTCGTATAGACAGATTTTGCTGTTTCTCCAGACCTGGTGTCGTATAGACAGGTATTGATGTTTCTCCAGCCCTGGTGTCGTATAGACAGGTATTGATGTTTCTCCAGCCCTGGTGTCGTATAGACAGGTATTGATGTTTCTCCAGCCCTGGTGTCGTATAGACAGGTTTTGATGTTTCTCCAGCCCTGGTGTCGTATAGACAGGTATTGATGTTTCTCCAGACCTGGTGTCGTATGGTGTCGTATAGACAGGTATTGATGTTTCTCCAGCCCTGGTGTCGTATAGACAGGTTTTGATGTTTCTCCAGACCTGGTGTCGTATAGACAGGTATTGATGTTTCTCCAGCCCTGGTGTCGTATAGACAGGTATTGATGTTTCTCCAGCCCTGGTGTCGTATAGACAGGTATTGATGTTTCTCCAGCCCTGGTGTCGTATAGACATGTATTGATGTTTCTCCAGCCCTGGTGTCGTATAGACAGGTTTTGATGTTTCTCCAGACCCTGGTGTCGTATAGACAGGTATTGTTGTTTCTCAAGCCCTGGTGTCATATAGACATGTATTGATGTTTCTCCAGACCTGGTGTAGTATAGACAGGTATTGATGTTTCTCCGGCCCTGGTGTCGTATAGACAGGTATTGATGTTTCTGCAGACCTAGTGTCGTATAGACAGGTATGGATGTTTCTCCAGCCCTGTTGTCTAATAGACAGGTGTTGATGTTTCTCAAGCCCTGGTGTCGAATAGACAGGTATTGATGTTTCTCCAGCCCTGGTGTCGAATAGACAGGTATTTATGTTTCTCCAGCCCTGGTGTCGTATAGACAGGTATGGATGTTTCTCTAGACCTGGTGTCATATAGACAGGTATTGATGTTTCTTAAGCCCTGGTGTCGTATAGACAGGTATTGATGTTTTTCTAGACCTGGTGTCGTATAGACAGGTATTGATGTTTCTCAAGGCCTGGTGTCGTAAAGACAGATATTGATGTTTCTCCATACCTGGTGTCGTATAGACAGGTATTGATGTTTTTCTAGACCTGGTGTCGTATAGACAGGTATGGATGTTTCTCTAGACCTGGTGTCATATAGACAGGTATTGATGTTTCTTAAGCCCTGGTGTCGTATAGACAGGTATTGATGTTTTTCTAGACCTGGTGTCGTATAGACAAGTATTGATGTTTCTCAAGCCCTGGTGTCGTAAAGACAGATATTGATGTTTCTCCATACCTGGTGTCGTATAGACAGGTATTGATGTTTTTCTAGACCTGGTGTCGTATAGACAGGTATGGATGTTTCTCCAGTCCTGGTGTCGTATAGACAGTTATAGATGTTTCTCAAGCCCTGGTGTCGTATAGACGGGTAGCTATATTTCGCATGATCTGGTGTCGCTATATACAAGTAGTTATGTTTCTCATGATCTTGGTGTCGTTATATACAAGTAGTTATATTTCTCAAGATCACAGTGTCGCTATATACAAGTAGTTATGTTTCTCATCATCTTTGTGTCGCTATATACAGGTAGTTATGTTTCTCGTGATCTTGGTGTCGCAAAATACAGATAGTTGTTTCTCATGATTCGGTGTCGCTATAAACAGGTAGTTATGTTTCTCGTGATCTCGGTGTCGCTATATACAGGTAGTTATGTTTCTCGTGATCTCGGTGTCGCTATATACAGGTAGTTATGTTTCTCGTGATCTCGGTGTCGCTATATACAGGTAGTTATGTTTCTCATTATCTTTGTGTCGCTATATACAGGTAGTTATGTTTCTCGTGATCTCGGTGTCGCAATATACAGATAGTTGTTTCTCATGATTCGGTGTCGTTATATACAGGTAGTTATGTTTCTCATGATTCAGTGTCGTTATATACAGGTAGTTATGTTTCTCATGATCTTTGTGTCGCTATATACAAGTAGTTATGTTTCTCATGATCTTTGTGTCGCTATATACAGGTAGTTATGTTTCTCGTGATCTTGGTGTCGCAATATACAGATAGTTGTTTCTCATGATTCGGTGTCGATATATACAGGTAGTTATGTTTCTCATGATCTTTGTGTCGCTATATACAAGTAGTTATGTTTCTCATGATCTTTGTGTCGCTATATACAGGTAGTTATGTTTCTCGTGATCTCGGTGTCGCAATATACAGATAGTTGTTTCTCATGATCTTTGTGTCGCTATATACAGGTAGTTATGTTTCTCGTGATCTCGGTGTCGCAATATACAGATAGTTGTTTCTCATGATTCGGTGTCGCTATATACAAGTAGTTATGTTTCTCATGATCTTGGTATCGCTATATACAGGTAGTTATTTGTAACTAAATCTAATTGTCCGTAGTGATATATATTTCTCTACCGATATAGAGGTGATATATAAATCAAGTTTTTCCTCGACAAAACAGCTGTCAACACATGCTGACATTGATGATGTTACGTCAGAAATTCTTCTAAAATTATGAAAAGATTTTATATTAAGGATGAGCTACATTGTTTAAAAATATTTCGTTTAACACAAATGAGAACATATTGAATAATTATAATGTATGTATTTCACTCGCAAGATGGTTGCTCGCCAAGCTGACACGTCGTTGTTTATACTGAAATATCTAGGTATAACGAGGCAATCTCTCCTTTATATTAAGATAGTGGTTCTGTAAAAATCATTTGTAGGTGTGACGAGGTCGAAGAGATGATATAGACGTTAAGCGTGTGCACATGTGTGTACACTTATCGCTTTGTCTGGCTGTGATGTCTATTTCTTGCACACAAACACATGCGTGCAGTGTATATATATAACGATCAATGAATTAATACGCTATGTACAAACTGTATCCGTGATACGTGTTATTCTGTACATATGTGTGTACGCTCCACACAACCTTACAGCAGGTATTCTCTTTTCGTCCAATATTCGCGGGAATCTGGCGCTGGTAGCAGACGATCGTTCGCCTTCTTTGCAATGCCGGTTTCTGCTGCTTCTGTGAGAGCTCTGCGATGAGACTGAGATCTTGCCTGCTTCGCTGATACCGCCATTGTTGCCTCGGTGTGGCTAGATGTTAATAGACGGACTGCTGCGGAAAACCACGCGAAAACGTATATATGAAGGTGAAAAAACATGGATTGGTAAATAACAGAATTAAGGACATATCATTGAAGGACTGTTGTGTGTGAGCCGTAAATGGAGTTATGTGCTTGGATACCCAATGTTCCTGTTTCCAGTTGTCACCATGAGATGTTCTGGTGCATCAGTGAAAAGCGCTTGGAACATCTATAGAGAAACTAGTGTGTGTATTCTTCTCTAGTCCAGAACAGATATATCTATCGTTCCTGTTTCTCAGAGAGCGGAGAATTTGGTAATTGAAATGGGTGTAATTTTGGTTGATGCTCATAATACGTGTGTAGGAGAGTTCATTAACAAGGAACGATTCCTGTCTACGTTGGCTGTCTCCTGTGTAATGTATTTGTCGGTATTCGTGATTTCGAATTCTCTACAACAGTTTTCAACCATTCACCAATACCAAGATCTAATACCACAACCACACAGCAACCGGTGACTTCCTGGGGAAAAAAACCCATTCACAAAAGCTCATAACTTTCTCGATATATGTTTTCTTTTAAGTTATAGCCGAATTGAAATCGATTGTATTTACAGTGATCAATGAACTATATATGAAAAAAAATCTGCAATATTACATGTAATAGATAAGTATTATTATGATGCCTGCAATAATGGATTCATCTATTGTTTGTGCCCGTCTGATATCCTTCATCGTGACTTTAGTCTTGTTCATGTCCCTAAATATCCTTGATTTCGCAACCTGTTCAGATATTAACCAACTTTCACAACTTCGTTATTTTGCTATTAAGCAAACAGAACCGCCTCTGTATCAAAAACGTGATTTATCTGCAGTCACCTCAACACCGTTTATTCAACGTCGAAAGGAAGAAAATGCCAAAAGCACAAGTTTAGCATTGTCTTATATAGTTAATGTATTATCCAACAGAACTAAATCGTTGAACATATGTGATGAAGTGGGATTTGAGCCTCTTACACTAGATGACTATAATCTTCAATACTCTAAATCGTATTTTCATGATTCCTTTGCGTTACAAGCTGGAAAGGCCGTTGACGTTGCCAATGGATTAACAAGTCTTCATTTTAATGAAAAAAGTGTTGATATTAGGGATTTAAATGATTCACACGTGTCCGTCTACACTGCCATCCTTAAATACTATGTCCAAAATGACTCGCATATAACCGGAAGTGGTATTGCATTTGAAAATGGATTCTTTCCTTATGTTTCTAAATCAACCTCCGGAAGTGCATTTCCTTCAAATTTAGGTTCTACGTATCCCTCGTATAAAAATGCAGAATATTATACTGTTCTTAAAAACAGGAATTATTCGAAAATATGGAAAACAGAAGGTGTTTCAAAGGTAACAGCTGAAAATCACACAGCATACATAGGTAAACACGAAGGTTTTTGGACCGACCCGTACTTTGACTGTCGACATCAGGAAAAATGGATTATTACATACTCCGCACCTTTTTTCCGGCTTGTCAAAGATCAGCCGGCATTTGGGTAAGTTGGTAGACGGGAAACCTCCCCAGCCCCACCCCCACCCCCAAAACATTATAATAATAAATCAAACATATTTTGACGCTTTATTTAAAATTGTATTTTAAAAAATCCTATTACCAACAGCATTAATTCTCAATCACTGAATCCTACCCTAAATAACTTCTGACCTCCATCACTGAATCCTACCCTATAACCTCTGACCTCAGTCACTGAATCCTGCACTAAATAACATCTGACCTCAGTCACTGAATCCTGCCCTAAATAACCTCTGACCTCCATCACTGAATCCTGCCCTAAATAACCTCTGACCTCAGTCACTAAATCCTGCCCTAAATAACCTCTGACCTCAGTCACTGAATCCTGCCCTAAATAACCTCTGACCTCCATCACTGAATCCTGCCCTAAATAACCTCTGACCTCAGTCACTGTATCCTACCCTAAATAACCTCTGACCTTAGTCACTGAATCCTACCCTAAATAACCTCTGACCTCAGTCACTGAATCCTACCCTAAATAACCTCTGACCTCAGTCACTGAATCCTACCCTATAACCTCTGATATCAGTCACTGAATCCTGCCCTAAATAACCCCTGACTTCAGTCACTAAATCCTGCCCTAAATAACCTCTGACATCAGTCACTGAATCCTGCCCTAAATAACCTCTGACCTCAGTCACTGTATCCTACCCTAAATAACCTCTGACCTTAGTCACTGAATCCTACCCTAAATAACCTCTGACCTCAGTCACTGAATCCTACCCGAAATAACCTCTGACCTCCATCACTGAATCCTACCCTAAATAACCTCTGACCTCAGTCACTGAATCCTACCCTATAACCTCTGATATCAGTCACTGAATCCTGCCCTAAATAACCCCTGACTTCAGTCACTAAATCCTGCCCTAAATAACCTCTGACATCAGTCACTGAATCCTACCCTATAACCTCTGACCTCAGTCACTGTATCCTACCCTAAATAACCTCTGACCTTAGTCACTGAATCCTACCCTAAATAACCTCTGACCTCCATCACTGAATCCTACCCTAAATAACCTCTGACCTCCATCACTGAATCCTGCCCTAAATAACCTCTGACCTTAGTCACTGAATCCTGCCCTAAATAACCTCTGACCTCCGTCACTGAATCCTACCCTAAATAACCTCTGACATCAGTCACTGAATTCTACCGTAAATAACCTCTGACCTCAGTCACTGAATCCTGCCCTAAATAACCTCTGACATCAGTCACTGAATCCTGCCCTAAATAACCTCTGACATCAGTCACTGAATTCTACCGTAAATAACCTCTGACGTCAGTCACTGAATCCTACCGTAAATAACCTCTGACCTTAGTCACTGAATCCTACCCTGAATAACCTCTGACCTCAGTCACTGAATCCTACCCTAAATAACCTCTGACCTCAGTCACTGAATCCTACCCTAAATAACCTCTGACCTCAGTCACTGTATCCTATCCTAAATAACCTCTGACCTCAGTCACTGAATCCTGCCCTAAATAACCTCTGACCTCAGTCACTGAATCCTACCCTAAATAACCTCTGACATCAGTCTCTGAATCTTACCCTAAATAACCTCTGACCTCAGTCACTGAATCCTACACTAAATAACCTCTGACCTCAGTCACTGAATCCTACCCTAAATAACCTCTGACCTCAGTCACTGAATCCTACCCTAAATAACCTCTGACCTCAGTCACTGAATCCTGCCCTAAATAACCTCTGACATCAGTCACTGAATCCTACCCTAAATAACCTCTGACCTCAGTCACTGAATCCTGCCCTAAATAACCTCTGACCTCAGTCACTGAATCCTACCCTAAATAACCTCTGACCTCAGTCACTGTATCCTATCCTAAATAACCTCTGACCTCAGTCACTGAATCCTATCCTAAATAACCTCTGACCTCAGTCACTGTATCCTATCCTAAATAACCTCTAATCTCCATCACTGAATACTGCCCTAAATAACCTCTGACCTCAGTCACTGAATCCTACCCAGAATAACCTCTAACCCCAATCCCCGAATTCTACCCTAAATAATTTCTAACCTCCATTTCTGAATCCTACGCTATAACCTCTAACAACATTCACTGAATCCAACCCAGATACCTCAGACCTCCGTCACTGAATCCTACCCTTAATAACTTCTTACTTCAATCACTGAATCCTACCCTTTTAACTTCAAACTTCTATAACTGAATTCTACCCTACATAACCTCTAACATCATTAACTGAATCTAACCCAAATATCTCAAATCTCCGTCACTGAATCCTACCCTTTTAACTTTCACTGAATCCTGTCCTAAATAACCTCTGACCTCCATCACTGAATCCTGCCCTAAATAACCTCTGACCTCCATCACTGATTCCTACCCTAAATAACCTCTAACCTCCATCACTGAATCCTGCCCTAAATAACCCCTGACTTCAGTCACTAAATCCTACCCTAAATAACCTTAGACCTTAGTCACTGAATCCTGCCCTAAATAACCTCTGACCTCAGTCACTGAATCCTGCCCTAAATAACCTCTAATCTCCATCACTGAATACTGCCCTAAATAACCTCTGACCTCAGTCACTGAATCCTGCCCTAAATAACCTCTGACCTCAGTCACTGAATCCTGCCCTAAATAACCTCTGACCTCAGTCACTGAATCCTGCCCTAAATAACCTCTGACCTCCATCACATTTACCCTTGATATCATTTAACTCATTATATTTTGTCCTAGATATACTTTCAATTTCTTTTACTATATTCTCCACAAATCTATATTACCAAATCATACATTTTACAGTATGAAATCTCGAATCCTAAATCTTATCCTAAATATCCTTTAACCATCCTCTAATTACCATTCCCAAGTCTTCCCTATCCTTCATATCCTCTAACTTCCATTACTGAATCTTACCTTATATGTCTTTGAACCTTTACCACTGAATCCAATATCTACCAGAGTTGTCGTTCCTTAACAATCACAATACACGTCTGTGAACATCTCATGGACTGATAATAGTTGACCTCGCGGTCAGGGTCAAAGTTTGACGTCGTGCACAACAATTGCGGCGTCCCTGACAACGTCAAGGACTTGTATATCATCAATCAGCCTAGATATCAGCATTTCTATTTGAGATGTTATCTGACAATTCTGTAGACAACTTAGCATCAGCATCGGTCAGTGACTGTTTACTCAGAGTTAATCATCCGCGTAATACTCAAGAACGTTTATAACTATTTAAACTAAAATAGTCATTTTATAAGACGAATTTACATTTATTTTCAAAATAATGATACGAAAAACAAAACAGAAAACTAACTCTTCCCTTATATTCTCTGACCTCAATCACTGAACTCTTACCCAATACCCTCTGACCTCAACCATTGAACTCGTCCATAATTCTCTGACCTCAATCATTGAACTCTTACCCAATACCCTCTGACCTCAATCATTGAACTCTTCCATAATTCTCTGACCTCAATCATTGAACTCTTACCCAATACCCTCTGACCTCAATCATTGAACTCTTCCATAATTCTCTGATCTCAATAGATGAACTCTTCGCTAATATCCTCTGACCTCAATAATTGAACTCTTACCCAATGCCCTCTGACCTCAATCATTGAACTCTTACCCAATACCCTCTGACCTCAATCATTGAACTCTTACCCAATACCCTCTGACCTCAATCATTGAACTCTTACCCAATACCCTCTGACCGCAATCATTGAATTCTTCCCTAAATATCCTCGAATTTCAATCAAACATTTGTCTCACAAAACTACATGGATTTAATATAATCACCCTCACTGAATCCTACCCAAAATATTGGTTTTGCGGTAGGACAAAGGCTCGGTACAGATGTTGGGTGTTCTCCATTTTATAACATGTTATCGGTTATGATTGTAAATGTCTGTTTTAGGACAAGGTCAGTAGTGATGTTTGATGTGTGTCTGTTTTAGGATAAATAATTGCTAGTGACGTTTGGTGTGTCTGCCTTTCGATAGAAATTCTGTTGCGATGTCTGGTATGTCTACTTTTGAACAGAAGTTTTGTAGTGATGTTTGGTGTGTGTGGTTTAAGATAGAAGTTTTGTAGTGATGTTTGTGGTGTGTGGTTTAAGATAGAAGTTCTGCAGTGATGTTTGGTGTGTGTTTTAAGATAGAAGTTCTGTAGCGATGTTTGCGGTGTGTGGTTTAAGATAGAATTTCTGTAGTGATGTTTGGTGTGTGTCTGTTTTAAGTTAGAAGTTTTGTAGTGATGTTTGTGGTGTGTATTTTAAGATAGAAGTTCTGTAGTGATGTTTCGTGTTTGTCCGATTTTGAACTAATGATATGTACTACTGTTTTTCGTGTCCCTGTTATAAGAGTAGTGATCGATAGGATTGTTTGGTGTTCGTCTGTATTAGGGCAGGAGATCACTGGTGATGTTTAGTGCAAGTCCTTTAGAACTGGAGATCCGTTGAGATGTTTGGTTTAAGGAAAGAAGATCAGTGTGTTGTTTGTCTGATTTGGACAAAAGTCGGTAATGATATTTGATGTTGATGTGTGCTAGGACAAGATGTTGGTTAGTAACGTTTGAAGTTGATATGTTGCAGGAGATGGTGGTTTGTTTTAGGACCAAAGATCGGTAGGGGTGTTAGGTGTTTGTTTAAGGACAGAAAGCCCAGGGCTTGATATTGATTTATGTTTTGACAGGAGATCGGTAGTGAAATTAATTGTTTTAGGAGAAGCGGCCGAATGTAGCGTTTGGTGTTCATCTTTTGTCTATTTGTGTATATGTGTATTTAGCGTGCCTTCCGACCAGATTAGTGACGTACGCTTGTAGTGAACTCCGTCAAATCAGGATCCAAATGTGTAAAGATTAATGACGGAAGACTTTGGTTAGATAAGTGACGGACGGTTTTAGTGTGGTTAGATAAGTGACGGACGGTTTTAGTGTGGTTAGATAAGTGACGGACTGTTTAAGTGTGGTTAGATAAGTGA